GTCGCTTTGGCTTTTCTTTCTTTGCCCAGCACTAAATCATTCTGTTTGTGCAGCCCACAGTACATTAGCCTTTTTTGTGCAGCTGACTTTTTTTGTTCACGGGGCAATAAACGACTCGAGTCATCTTGTTTTTGCACAAGAGAAAGTAAAAACAGCACCCATTTAACGGTAACGCTGAGCAAAGGCACACAGACTGCCAAAACCAGGATTGAACCAGGGACCTTTAGATCTTCAGTCTAACGCTCTCCCAACTGAGCTATTTCGCAAAGCCATTCCAGTTTTTCTGCTACCTCCAAACCAAACGGTAGAAATCTGTGCGAAGACAGTATTTTCTCCAAAAACTGTCTTCTCTGAGAAAATTGCAGGCTATTTTCAACAGTTTGCTTACCTGCAAATGGTAAAATCATTTATCCTCCCGCAAACCATCAAGAGTGGCCCTGAGATTCATTTATCGCATGGCTCATACCACGTAAGTGAGCTACCACAGCTGCCGCATGAAAAGCTCAAACAGTGCCCTCACAGCAATTTCTCATTTGGCATCATTTCATGGTCAAGATGGAGCCTAGATTTATGTCCATCCCACAAAACGCAGTGCGGTGGTCTTGTCTATTTCCATGATGCTTTGCACTTTTTTATTACTCCCATAGCTTAATAAAGTTTTGCTTTCCTCGTTAATTGTCCCAATGTATCCTTGCAAATTGAATTCATATACATTTGGCATCAAAGACCGTGAGTCATTCGTCATACGCTTTCAACATCCAGCTTGCATCGTCCGAGATAAAATCGTTCACAATGCTGAATTTGAGCTGAAGTTTCTGTTGGCACTGTTTAATCCTGTCCTCGAATGATGAATGCAGAAACTTGCAATGTAATGTTGGCGCAAGCGTGTTACACCCCAAACATTTTGTGTATTCTCCTTGTCGTTGGCTGTCATATCATACATCTGTCCATGCTTTGACGGTAAAAATGACGGAGAAGCCCTGTCCAAACACAAAAGTGAAAGAATAAAAAATTGGGCAAGGACTCAGAGATCGAGCAGAATTTTCACTCGAAATTGAGCAAATTCATCTGTAAAATTCCCCTCAAGCAAAGGTGGGGAATTAGCTCAAATGATAGAGCGCTCGCTTAGCATGCGAGAGGTAATGGGATCGAAGCCTGCATTCTTCAGAGTTGGCTTTTGTGCCCTCACAGGCATGCTCCCCGCATTCACTGCCGAGGCGGACTAGGACGCGAGGTCAATTCTGCGCAATACTGTGTGCATGTCTGAGAAGAAGAGACTCTTCGCTGCCTTTATCTCAGAGGATAGCTCTGACTTGTATTACTTCTGACCCTATTGCTGGAGCACTGAAGCTCACCCAGAACTCCTGGCATTGACAGCAATGATGAACAGCAAGCAATGTCTCGATTCTAGTTTGAAGTCAAAGTCAACTAACACTATGCATCATTAGTTCTGCTTGTCCCAGGCGTAGTGAAAGCAAGGACAGTTGCAGGGCCATTGCTGAAATTAAGATAAGGTTCAATCGCCATTGTTTTACAAGACCTGCAAAAGGTCATTGCAGACATTTGGAATGGCGTGCTACAGCACATACATTTTCAGGCTATTTTTGGCCATTTCCTCCTCGTTAGTATAGTGACGAGTATCCCCGCCTGTCACGCGGGAGACCAGGGTTCGATTCCCCGAAGGGGAGTTTGAGGTTTTTTTCCCAGTCACTGTCGGAACAAAGATCAAAAGCTGACTCATTTTGGCTAAGAATGACATTATGAAACCTAAAGTCTGTCCTTTCAACACTATTACACATGTCCTGGGGATAAAACAAGTGCTTTTTTCACAAGCTGAGCATTGAGCACTGATATTTCTCCAGGCTAAAAGTGGTTTCCAACATGCAGCTCTGGCATCAATGCCATTCTTGCCCAGTCGCTTTGGCTTTTCTTTCTTGCCCAGCACTAAATCATTTTGTTTGTGTAGCCCACAGTACATTAGCCTTTTTTGTGCAGCTGACTTTTTTTGTTCACGGGGCAATAAACGACTCGAGTCATCTTGTTTTTGCACAAGAGAAAGTAAAAACAGCACCCATTTACCCAAGTGATAACGCAGCTGAGCAAAGGCACACAGACTGCTGAAACCCAGGATTGAACCAGGGACCTTTAGATCTTCAGTCTAACGCTCTCCCAACTGAGCTATTTCGGCAAAGCCATTCCAGTTTTTCTGCTACTCCAAACGGTAGAAATCTGTAGGAAGACAGCATTTTTCTCCAAAAACCGTCTTCTCTGAAAATTTCAGGCTATTTTGAGCAGTTTGCTTACCTGCAAATGGTAAAATCATTCATCCTCCATAAAACCATCAAGAGTGGCCCCTGAGATTCATTTATCGCATGGCTCATACCAAGTAAGTGAGCTACCACAGCTGCCGCATGAAAAAGCTCAAACAGTGCCCTCACAGCAGTTTCTCATTTGGCATCATTTCATGGTCAAGATGGAGCCTTGATTTATTTCCATCCCACAAAACGCAGTGCGGTGGTCTTGTCTATTTCCATGATGCTTTGCACTTTTTATTACTCCCATAGCTTAATAAAGTTTTGCTTTCCCTCGTTAATTGTCCCAATGTATCCTTGCAAATTGAATTCATATACATTTGGCATCAAAGACCGTGAGTCATTCGTCATACGCTTTCAACATCCAGCTTGCATCGTCCGAGATAAAATCGTTCACAATGCTGAATTTGAGCTGAAGTTTCTGTTGGCACTGTTTAATCCTGTCCTCGAATGATGAATGCAGAAACTTGCAATGTAATGTTAGGCGCAAGCGTGTTACACCCCAAACATTTTGTGTATTCTCCTTGTCGTTGGCTGTCATATCATACATCTGTCCATGCTTTGACAGTAAAAATGACGGAGAAGCCCTGTCCAAACACAAAAGTGAAAGAATAAAAATTGGGCAAGGACTCAGAGATCGAGCAGAATTTTCACTCGAAATTGAGCAAATTCATCTGTAAAATTCCCCTCAAGCAAAGGTGGGGAATTAGCTCAAATGGTAGAGCGCTCGCTTAGCATGCGAGAGGTAGCGGGATCGACGCCTGCATTCTCCAGAGTTGGCTTTTGTGCCCTCACAGGCATGCTCCCGCATTCACTGCCGAGGCGGACTAGGACGCGAGGTCAATTGCGCAATACTGTGCGCATGTCTGAGAAGAAGAGACTCTTCGCTGCCTTTATCTCAGAGGATAGCTCTGACTTGTATTACTTCTGACCCCTATTGCTGGAGCACTGAAGCTCGCCAGAACTCCTGGCATTGACAGCAATGATGAACAGCAAGCAATGTCTCGATTCTAGTTTGAAGTCAAAGTCAACTAACACTATGCATCATTAGTTCTCCTTGTCCCTGGCGTAGTGAAAGCAAGGACAGTTGCAGGGCCATTGCTGAAATTAAGATAAGGTTCAATCGCCATTGTTTTACAAGACCTGCAAAAGGTCATTGCAGACATTTGGAATGGCGTGCTACAGCACATACATTTTCAGGTTATTTTTGGCCATTTCCTCCTCGTTAGTATAGTGTTGAGTATCCCCGCCTGTCACGCGGGAGACCGGGTTCGATTCCCGACGGGGAGTTTGAGGTTTTTTTCCCAGTCACTGTCGGAACAAAGATCAAAAGCTGACTCATTTTCGCTAAGAATGACATTATGAAACCTAAAGTCTGTCCTTTCAACACTATTACACATGTCCTGGGGATAAAACAAGTGCTTTTTTTTCACAAGCTGAGCATTGAGCACTGATATTTCTCCAGGCTAAAAGTGGTTTCAACATGCAGCACTGCCATCAATGCCATTCTTGCCCAGTCGCTTTGGCTTTTTTCTTTCTTGCCCAGCACTACATCATTCTGTTTGTGCAGCCCACAGTACATTAGCCTTTTTTGTGCAGCTGACTTTTTTTTTTTGTTTTCACGGGGCAATAATATTGTTGAGGCAGAGACTTCAAGAGCAGACATCTTGTTTTTTGCATCAAGATAATTCACGATGTAAAAAACAGCACCCATTTACCATTCATGTTATGTTAACGTTATCTTGTTTTTGCAGAGAAAGTAAAAACAGCAATTTACCGGCACACAGACTGCCTAAAACCGGGATTGAACCAGGGACCTTTAGATCTTCAGTCTAACGCTCTCCCAACTGAGCTATTTCGCAAAAGCCATTCCAGTTTTTCTGCTACCTCCAAACGGTAGAAATCTGTAGGAAGACAGCATTTTCTCCAAAAACCGTCTTCTCTGAGAAAATTTCAGGCTATTTTGAGCAGTTTGCTTACCTGCAAATGGTAAAATCATTCATCCTCCCGCAAACCATCAAGAGTGGCCCCTGAGATTCATTTATCGCATGGCTCATACCAAGTAAGTGAGCTACCACAGCTGCCGCATGAAAAGCTCAAACAGTGCCCTCACAGCAGTTTCTCATTTGGCATCATTTCATGGTCAAGATGGAGCCTTGATTTATTTCCATCCCACAAAACGCAGTGCGGTGGTCTTGTCTATTTCCATGATGCTTTGCACTTTTTTATTACTCCCATAGCTTAATAAAGTTTTGCTTTCCCTCGTTAATTGTCCCAATGTATCCTTGCAAATTGAATTCATATACATTTGGCATCAAAGACCGTGAGTCATTAAATCATACGCTTTCAACATCCAGCTTGCATCGTCCGAGATAAAATCGTTCACAATGCTGAATTTGAGCTGAAGTTTCTGTTGGCACTGTTTAATCCTGTCCTCGAATGATGAATGCAGAAACTTGCAATGTAATGTTGGCGCAAGCGTGTTACACCCCAAACATTTTGTGTATTCTCCTTGTCGTTGGCTGTCATATCATACATCTGTCCATGCTTTGACAGTAAAAATGACGGAGAAGCCCTGTCCAAACACAAAAGTGAAAGAATAAAAATTGGGCAAGGACTCAGAGATCGAGCAGAATTTTCACTCGAAATTGAGCAAATTCATCTGTAAAATTCCCCTCAAGCAAAGGTGGGGAATTAGCTCAAATGGTAGAGCGCTTCGCTTAGCATCACGAGAGGGTAGCGGGATCGACGCCTGCATTCTCCAGAGTTGGCTTTTGTGCCCTCACAGGCATGCTCCCGCATTCACTGCCGAGGCGGACTAGGGCCTTGAGGTCAATTGCAATACTGTGCGCATGTCTGAGAAGAAGAGACTCTTCGCTGCCTTTATCTCAGAGGATAGCTCTGACTTGTATTACTTCTGAGCCCTATTGCTGGAGCACTGAAGCTCACCAGAACTCCTGGCATTGACAGCAATGATGAACAGCAAGCAATGTCTCGATTCTAGTTTGAAGTCAAAGTCAACTAACACTATGCATCATTAGTTCTCCTTGTCCCTGGCGTAGTGAAAGCAAGGACAGTTGCAGGGCCATTGCTGAAATTAAGATAAGTTTCAATCGCCATTGTTTTACAAGACCTGCAAAAGGTCATTGCAGACATTTGGAATGGCGTGCTACAGCACATACATTTTCAGGCTATTTTTGGCCATTTCCTCCTCGTTAGTATAGTGGTGAGTATCCCCGCCTATCACGCGGGAGACCGGGGTTCGATTCCCCGACGGGGAGTTTGAGGTTTTTTCCCAGTCACTGTCGGAACAAAGATCAAAAGCTGACTCATTTTCGCTAAGAATGACATTATGAAACCTAAAGTCTGTCCTTTCAACACTATTACACATTTCCTGGGGATAAAACAAGTGCTTTTTTCACAAGCTGAGCATTGAGCACTGATATTTCTCCAGGCTAAAAGTGGTTATCAACATGCAGCACTGCCATCAATGCCATTCTTGCCCAGTCGCTTTGGCTTTTCTTTCTTGCCCAGCACTAAATCATTTTGTTTGTGTAGCCCACAGTACATTAGCCTTTTTTGTGCAGCTGACTTTTTTTTGTTCACGGGGCAATAAACGACTTGAGTCATCTTGTTTTTGCACAAGAGAAAGTAAAAACAGCACCCATTTACCGGTAACGCTGAGCGAAGGCACACAGACTGTCGAAACCTGGGATTGAACCAGGGACCTTTAGATCTTCAGTCTAACGCTCTCCCAACTGAGCTATTTCGGCAAAGCCATTCCAGTTTTTCTGCTACCTCCAAACGGTAGAAATCTGTAGGAAGACAGCATTTTCTCCAAAAACCGTCTTCTCTGAGAAAATTTCAGGCTATTTTGAGCAGTTTGCTTACCTGCAAATGGTAAAATCATTCATCCTCCCACAAACCATCAAGAGGCCCCTGAGATTCATTTATCGCATGGCTCATACCAAGTAAGTGAGCTACCACAGCTGCCGCATGAAAAGCTCAAACAGTGCCCTCACAGCAGTTTCTCATTTGGCATCATTTCATGGTCAAGATGGAGCCTTGATTTATTTCCATCCCACAAAACGCAAAGTCGCGGTGGTCTTGTCTATTTCCATGATGCTTTGCACTTTTTTATTACTCCCATAGCTTAATAAAGTTTTGCTTTCCCTCGTTAATTGTCCCAATGTATCCTTGCAAATTGAATTCATATACATTTGGCATCAAAGACCGTGAGTCATTAAGTCATACGCTTTCAACATCCAGCTTGCATCGTCCGAGATAAAATCGTTCACAATGCTGAATTTGAGCTGAAGTTTCTGTTGGCACTGTTTAATCCTGTCCTCGAATGATGAATGCAGAAACTTGCAATGTAATGTTGGCGCAAGCGTGTTACACCCCAAACATTTTGTGTATTCTCCTTGTCGTTGGCTGTCATATCATACATCTGTCCATGCTTTGACGGTAAAAATGACGGAGAAGCCCTGTCCAAACACAAAAGTGAAAGAATAAAAATTGGGCAAGGACTCAGAGATCGAGCAGAATTTTCACTCGAAATTGAGCAAATTCATCTGTAAAATTCGCCTCAAGCAAAGCCGGGGAATTAGCTCAAATGGTAGAACGCTTCTTAGCATGCGAGAGGTAACGGATCGATGCCTGCATTCTCCAGAGTTGGCTTTTTGTGCCCTCACAGGCATGCTCCCGCATTCACTGCCGAGGCGGACTAGGACGCTTGGTCAATTGCGCAATACTGTGCGTGTGTCTGAGAAGAAGAGACTCTTCGCTGCCTTTATCTCAGAGGATAGCTCTGACTTGTATTACTTCTGAGCCCTATTGCTGGAGCACTGAAGCTCGCCAGAACTCCTGGCATTGACAGCAATGATGAACAGCAAGCAATGTCTCGATTCTAGTTTGAAGTCAAAGTCAACTAACACTATGCATCATTAGTTCTCCTTGTCCCTGGCGTAGTGAAAGCAAGGACAGTTGCAGGGCCATTGCTGAAATTAAGATAAGGTTCAATCGCCATTGTTTTATAAGACCTGCAAAAGGTCATTGCAGACATTTGGAATGGCGTGCTACAGCACATTTTTTCTTTCTTGAACCATTCTGTTTGGACCCACAGTATTAGCCTTTTTTGTGCAGCTGACTTTTTTTTTTGTTCGGGGCAATAAACGACTCGAGTCATCTTGTTTTTGCACAAGAGAAAGTGAAAACAGCTATTTCAGCAAAGTTGACTTTTGCATTCTCTGATACCTCCAAACTGAGTATAAATCTGTTTTCTGCTACCTCCAAACGGTAGAAATCTGTAGGAAGACAGCATTTTCTCCAAAATCCGTCTTCTCTGAGGAAATTTTGGGCTATTTTGAGCAGTTTGATAACCTGCATATAGTAAAATCATTCATCCTTCAGCAAACCATCAAGAGTGCCCCCTGAGATTCAGTTATCGCATGGCTCATACCAAGTGAGTGAACTACCACAGCTGCCGCATGAAAAGCTCAAACAGTGCCCTCACAGCAGTTTCTCATTTGGTACCATTTCATGGTCAAGATGCAGCCATGATTTATTTCCATCCCACAAAACACAGTGCGGTGGTCTTGTCTATTTCCATGATGCTTTGCACTTTTTTATTACTCCCATAGCTAAGTAAAGTTTTGTTCTCCCTCGTTACTTGTCCCAATGTAGTCTTGCAAGTTGAGTTTATATACATATGGCATCAAAGACCTTGAGTCATTCGTCATACGCTTTCTACATCCAGCTTGCATCGTCCGAGATAAAATCATTCACAATGCTGAATTTGAGCTGAAGTTTCTGTTGGCACTGCTTAATCCTGTCCTCGAAAGATGAATGCAGAAACTTGCAATGTAATGTTGGCGCAACCATGTTCCACCCCAAACATTTTGTGTATTCTACTTGTCGTTGGCTGTCATATCAAGCATCTGTCCATGCTTTGAGGGTAAAAATGACGGAGAAGCCCTGTCCAAATACAAAAGTGAAAGAATAAAAATTGTGCAAGGACTCAGAGATCAATCAGAATTTTCACTCGAAATTGAGGAAATTCATCTGTAATATTTCCCCCAATGAACCTTGGGGAATTAGCTCAAATGGTAGAGTGCTCACTTAGCATGCGAGAGGAAGCGAGATCGATGCCCGCACTCTCCAGCTTTGCCCTTTGTGACCTCACAGGCGTGCTCCTGCATTCACTGCCGAGGCGGACTAGGACGTGGAGTCAATTATGCAATACTGTGCGTGTTTCTGAGCAGAAGAGACTCTTTGCTGCCTTTATCTCAGAGGATTGCTCTGACATGTATTCCCTCTGACCCCTATTGCTGGAGCACTGAAGCCCGCCAGGACCCCTGGCATTGACAGCAATGATGAACAGCAAGCAATGTCTCAATTTTAGTTTGAAGTCAAAGTCAACTAACACTATGCATCATTAGTTTTGCTTGTCCCAGGAGTAGTGAAAGCAAGGACAGCTGCAGGGTCATTGCTGAATTTAAGATAAAGTTCAATTGCCATTGTTTTACAAGACCTGCAAAATGTCATTGCAGACATTCGGAATGGCGTTCTACAGCACATACATTTTCAGGCCATTGACTGCCATTTCCTCCTCGTTAGTATAGTGGTGAGTATCCCCGTCTGTCACGCGGGAGACCGGGGTTAGATTCCCCGACGGGGAGTTGGAGGTTTTTTTCCCAGTCACTGTCAGTACAAAGAAAATAAACTGACTCATTTTCGCTGTGAATGACATTGTGAAACCTAAAGTCTGTCCTTTCAACACTATTGCACATGGCCTGTGGATAAAAAAGTGCTTTTTTCACAAGCTGAGCATTGAGCACTGATATTTCTCCAGGCTAAAAGTGGTTTCCAACATACAGCTCAGCCATGAATGCCATTCTTGCCCAGTCGCTTTTGCTTTTTTTCTTGCCCAGCACTCTTTGTTCTTGCCCAGCACAACAACTCATTCTTGTTTTTGCACAAGCAAAAGTTAAAACAGAACACAACATCTGAGAATATCGAGAGGGGCCCTCATACAAATGTTGAACATTAGATCTTCAGTTTCTTGAACTATTTCGCAAAGCTGACTTTTTTCCAAACGTTCTGTGCGCGAAGGCAGCATTTTCTCCAAAATCCGTCTTCTCTGAGGAAATTTTGGGCTATTTTGAGCAGTTTGATTACCTGCATATGGTAAAATCATTCATCCTTCAGTTTTTCAGTTATCGCATGGCTCATACCAAGTGAGTGAGCTAACAGCTGCCGCATGAAAAACAGAAGTGCCCACAGCAGTTTCTCATTTGGTACCATTTCATGGTCAAGATGGAGCCATGATTTATTCCCATCCCACAAAACACAGTGCGGTGGTCTTGTCTATTTCCATGATGCTTTGCACTTTTTTATTATTATTTTTATATTTTATTATTTTAAATTGAGGAAATTCATCTGTAATATTTCCCCCAAACAACCCTGGGGAATTAGCTCAAAAGCTAATTGCTTAAAGCTGGGGAACAATAGTTCGTATAGTGGGGGGAAGAAGGCGGAGAAGGGGGGAGAAAAGGGAAGAAAAAAATGCAGAAAAAAAGGATGGATCCGGGTTCGAATCCAGCCATGGGCAAAACTGAATTTTGTTGATTGTGTTTTAATGCAGTTAATTTCCCCCCCATAAACGCTGAATGTCTGATCTCATCCGTTTATGCATGCAAATGTTCTTGACTCTGTGCAAAAATGATCCATTTTCATTGCAGTGCAAGTTTTGCATTTAATACA